GTTTGTATAACAGATCATAGATGGTGCAATGCCTGAAAGAGTAAAACTGTAACTTCTGGACACCAAAATTCAAATCAATACATTCTACATGTGTAAGTGATTTTGGTCTTGTTCTTGTCCCCTTTTGTTCTTGTCAAAAACGACTTCACAGCTGGATTAATACAGCACTAGTGTCAGTTTCTGTTATAAAGAGGTTTGCTGACAGGGTGTGAGGGGTGCAAAAGGGCAATTGCCCAGGAGCCTGGGTGATTTTAAAGAGCACAAGGGCCCCCAGCCACCACCAGCAGAGCAATGAGGCTAAGGCAGGCTTCCTGCTTGCCCTCGCTCTGCACCACTTCCAGAAGCGGAGGACAAAATCCGTGTGGCCCCCTAGGGTGTGTGTGTATGTTTCCATCCCATTGCCTGTGTCCCAAGTGCTGAATCTGCAGTTCTGATTGGCTGGGAACTGCAGCCAGTGGGAGCTGCGGGGGAGGTGCCTGCAGATAGTGGTGCACAGAGACCTCCCCTGGACCTCCCACTTAGGAGCTGCTGCCTGCAGGGTGTTCCAGTTGCCTTCAAGAGCTGCCCAGGGTAAGTATTGACCCCATGACTCCATGCTGCACCCAAATCCCCTGCCTCAGCCCAGGGTCAGCGCCCGGACTCCCTCCTGGAACCTGACCCCTTACTCCTTCATGTACCCAGACTCCCTCCAGAAGCCTCACTTTCTCCCGCACCCAAACTCCCTTCCGAAGCCTGTACCCTGCACCTCCTCCTGTAATCCCAGCCTAGAGCCTGTACTCAAACTCCCTCCCAGATCTCAACTCCTCACCCCTTCCTCCACCCTATCTCCCTTTCAGACCCTTTGCCCTGCATCCCCTCTTTATCTCAACTCCTGCCCCAGCCGGGTGAAAGTGAGTGAGGGTGGGGGAAAGCATGTGATGGAGGGAGGGGGGATAAAATGAGTGGGGTCCAGGTCTTGGAGAAAGGGTGGGGCAAGGGTGTAACTTCAGGTAGGGGATGGGGCAGGGCTCTTTGGGTTTGCACAGTTAGACAGCTGGCAACCCTACCAGGCAGACACATGGAAGCCCTGGCCATGCTGGAAGAGCCCACCCAGCAGCACAGTCAGCAGTTCACTGGGCATCAGCCAGCACAGCACTGCCCAGAGGCCAGGTAGACTGCATCTGTGCAGGCGTGGCTAGTGCATGCATGGGGGCCCATTGACTGTAGTGCCCTGAGACCCAGAATTGCTGTTGGCAGGCCTGGTTAAAAGATGGAAACAGCAGGCATGATGTAGAGTCAAAGTGAGATATACACTCTCACCGTGCTATGTGGGATATTTATCCATTACCTACTTGTGCTCCACCTGGTTCCAGCCAAAGCCATTAGTCCTTCCCTACTGTGAACAATACATTCACTTAGAAATTTCTAAAAGAAGGGGGAATTGTGAGGAGATGGGTGTTGCTGTTTCTGTAAAACTGCAGTGGGAAGGCAGATGGGGTGGGGAGTTGGGTTGAAGGTGTGAGTCAGGTTCTCCAGTGAAGGCTGAGAAAGATGAGCTCGAGGGATAACATTGTTCTATAGCACAATCACTCTGTATCTCTGTTCCATTGTTATGTGACATCCACAAGGGGAAGAGACCTACCCTGAGGAGATTTTGTCTCCACTCTCACCACTTGACTTAAGAGACCCATAAGGTGTGCACCTGCTACACAATAAGGGTGTGTCTAAACTACATGGCTCCATCGATGGAGCCATGTAGTTTAGACACACCCTAACTGTGGGCTTTCTTCCAGCAGCCACATAATATATTCACTGGAAGAAGGGTCTGTAATGGCTGGTGGACCCTCTCTTCAGCACTGCAAACAACACACCTGCCAGAGGAACAATGTAGCAACCTGCCAAACCCAAAAGGGGGATGTGATACGACAAAGGCCCAGAATGGGGAACACAAAAAAGCATCCATGCAGGAAATTTAAAGTGCTGTGGGATTTCTTCTGTTAGTGCAAATGACTCCCTCTGTAATCTATGCAGCATAATTGTAGCTGTGTCGGTCCCAGGATATTAGAGAGACAAGGTAGATGAGGTAATATCTATTATGGGATCAGCTTCTGTTGCTGAGAAAGACAAACATTTGAGTCATACAGAGCTCTTCTCCAGGTGTGGAAAAGGTGCCCCTAGCAGCACAGCAAAATAAGTGGAACAGGTTATTTGTTATTTGTTTAGCATGAGTAGTTAATGCATATTGTAAGGGCCCATTCATAGTAGAGTGGCCCTTTATCATCAAACAACTACAATGCACACTCAAGGCAGACCCCACCCTGAAAGAAATCTTTCCTGAACCCCAATTTCTGGCCTTCAAACAAGGACTTAACTGCTCCAACTTCATCATCAAAAGCAAGCTCCACTTAGACCAGGATGCAACAACTTAAAGTGGCATCAGAACAACAGATGCAAAACTTGTAGACACAGCTTCACAGCTCCATATGATCAACACTCCCCATAACATACCTTTCAAGGCCCATGTCTACCACAGCACACGAGATAGCTCATGCGGTGCACTATGTGCCCCAATAATGACTATGTAAGTGAAACCAGACAATCACCATGCTCTTGAATGAACTCATGCAGGAAAATAAAAAAGATAACACCCTATCACCTGTGAGTGAACATTTTTCACACAGCGATCACTCTACATTTGACCTATCAGTCCTCATCCTCAAAAGAAACCTGCACAACCAGGGATGCCGGAACAGTTTGTGTAGTGAGGGTGCTGAGAGCCATTAAACCAAACTGTAAACCCAATATATAAGGGAAACCATTTCAAGCCAGAGGGTGTTGCAGCACCCACCACAGTGCCAGCACGTAAATGTATAACACTACCAAAAGATGAGCCTGGGAGCTTAAATTCATTACTCTACTAGACACTAAAGATCAAGGCCAGAATAGAGATGCTGGATTTATGTTTATTACAACAATCTGTGATCTGTTAACCCCTTTTTTGCCCTATGATTCCAAAAATGTTACTCTCTAACTTGAATGGTTTCCTTGGTCAAAGTCTATACTGCCGCCTTACTGCGCTGCATTTTTCTGGCTCAGAGACGTGAAAAATCATAGCCCCTGAGTGCAACAAGTTACACCACTATAAAGTGCCAGCGTAAACAGGCTCCTGGAGCAGTTAGCTTCTCCCCTCGTGGAGGCAGTTTACACAGAGGCTATGTCTAGACTGGCAAGTTTTTCCGCAAAAGCATCTGCTTTTGTGGAAAAACTTGCTAGCTGTCTACACTGGCCACTTGAATTTCTGCAAGAACACTGACTTCCTACTGTCTGAAATCAGTGCTTCTTGCAGAAAAACTATGCTGCTCCTGTTCGGGCAAAAGGGCCAATGTAGACAGCTCAGATTTGTTTTGCGCAAAAAAGCCCTGATCGTGAAAATGGCGATTGGGGTTTTTTTGCGCAAAAGCACGTCTAGATTGGCCATGGATGCTTTTGCGCAAAAGTATCCGTGCCAATCTAAACGTTCTTTTCCGCAAATGCTTTTAACGGAAAACTTTTCCATTAAAAGCATTTGCGGAAAATCATGCCAGTCTAGATGTAGCCAGAGTGCTGGAAGACCTCTCTCCCAGCTCTTGTGCTGTGGCTACACTTTCATGTTTAGGTGATGCCCGGCAGCACTTTAATTTTAGAACTGTAGACAAAACCTTAGAAAACATGCTAACTACTAGTGCTAGTCAATCTGATCCACCTTGCATTTGGCTGCAGTGCTCAGAGTACCTCTCAGACTGGAAGAAGAGCACTGTATGGGCTTGCAAGCTTGTCTCTCATTAACAGAAGTTTAAGATTCTTTATTTCAGAATTACATTATTTTCAACAGTAAAAGTATGTCTGGAGAAGTGACACCAATTTTGTGGAATGTAGACAAGTTTGGGAGGAAGCGAGTAACATCTCTATAGAGTGGAGTGCTCTGCAGAGGTTTCTTTTTCCACAATAACTGTGAGCATGTCTCCAGCACTCCCCTTCATGCAGCCACCAAGCACATAGGAATTAAGAAAGCAGTTAGATGGTGAGTCATTGTGAGAACTGCCTGACTGTTGCAGAGCCCCTATCCCATCTTCTCCTCATTATTTCTAAGTGGAAGCAGTAGGAAGCAGCAACTTAACAGGCACAGACAAAATTCCTCCAGATTCCCAACTGCCTCCCCTGGCTCAGTCTCAGGCCTCAATTGTGCTCACACCCTACAAGAGCATTTATGGGAGTCACTCAATCCCCTCAAAGCAGTGGGTGTTGGGCCAGAGGATACTTTAGCTTTTAAACCATGTAATAGCAAATAACATTTTAATTAAAACAAAGTTTTGCTTTGTTATGACCCAAGCTCTTAGCCAAGGCTCTACTATGAGCTGATCTACATGTTTTGTTAGTCTTTAGAGTGCTACTAGACTATTTGTTGTTTTTAAATTTTTTCCTGTTACAGACTAACTGGGCTACCTCTCTGAAGCTTTTGAACATCTTAGTTATAAAGTCTTTTAGCTTCAGAGGGGTAGCCCAGTTAGTGTGTATCAGGAAAAACTTAAACAAGTAGTCTAGTAGCACCTTAAAGACTAAATAGTTCAAGAGGGTGCTGCTAGACTATTCAGTTGTTTGTCCAGTTACAGACTAACTGGGCTACACCGCTGACGCTTTTGAACATCTCCGTTATGTGAAGATTAATTCTTTCTCCTTCACTTTGAGATTAATCTAAAATCAGTTTATTTCTGGGCCCCCCTCAGGAGGAAAGATTTTTGATCTGCCTTGCAGTCTGGTATCCCCCCCATGCAGTTGGAAGGCATCTCCCTCCTGCTGAGCGACTTGTCTGGGATTTAAAGCGATATAGTTGGAAAAGAAATCGCCAGCGCGGTTTGAAACCCCCTCAGAGCAATTAGCGTAGAGTGTGAGAGAGCCCTGTCAGGGCTGGGCGCGGGGGGGATACCCCGCCCCAAAACGCGTCCCTCCAGCTGGCTGCGCTGCTGTCCCAGGGCACGCACCGCCGCCCCAGCTGCGGGGCACTTGTTCGACCGCAGCCCGGGGGCGATGCTGGTGCGTGTCAGGAGGCAGCCGCATCCAGCCTGCCTCTCGCTCCCCTGCAGGAGAGAGAGAGCGAGCCAGACGGCGCGAGGGAGCCTGTCTGCCAAGTGCTGCTCCCTGGTGCTCAGAGCCTGCTCCGTCTCCAACTCCCATTCATTTTGCCGGCTAACATGAGAGATCATGGCCGCCTTCGGGCTTCTCAGCTATGAGCAGAGACCGCTCAAACGCCCCCGCCTGGGGCCGCCCGACGTCTACCCGCAGGACCCCAAGCAGAAGGAGGTGAGAGCCGGAGCCTTCGGCTGCGCCGGGCGCGGGCTCCGCGGGGCTGGCGAGGGGCAGAAGTTTGCCCGGCGGCCACCTGAAGGGGTGATGGGGGCGGGGGTGGGAAAGGAGCCTGCCGGCGCGGAGCTGCTGCTAGTCTGAGGGGAGCCCCGAGCCGGAGCAGGGATGCCGTCGTGGGGGGCTGCTCCCTGCCTGGGCCTGAGGCCGCCACGGCTGCAGCCACCCCATCCCCTTTCCCAGTGGAGCCTTTTAAACTTTTGAAAAAATGTCGGCTGGCAAGGCGAGGCACCCCCCTGACTTGCATTTTTCTGCGGCGAGGCTGGGGTTCGGGGCTGGGCACCAGGGCAGGCGTAGCTCGCTGGACCTGCGGGAGCAGGAGACCTCCACTTCTCCACTCCCTTGGCAGCCTGGGGACACTGGTTCTGCCGCCGTCTGGGGCAGTAAATCCCCACCCAGAGGAGATGGACAATCATTTGTGACTGACAGAAGCTTGTCTCTGTCCATGGATGCTGGACTGCAATAGGCAAGTACTTTGGCTGTTGGGCAATGCTCAGTAACATCTGCTGGAACAAAAGCTATTTGGCTTCTAACACTCAGGGTACCCCTGGCAGGTAGGCACAGTGCAGTAACCATGGCATTCCGTAGGTAGGATACACTGCAATTATTTTAAAATAATCACTTGTTAAAAGAGCCAGGGTGCTATAATTTGTCATGGGACTTGTTTATTTTTTAACTCACCTGCTTCCCCTCTGTAGTGATTCAGATAAGTGAAAGCTATAGTCACCTGTAAACCATTTTGCCTAGTAACTTTCCTTTCCTTATTGTGACCTCAGCCAAATGGTGGTAATTGCCCTCATAGATATTTTGCATATAATTGAGGGAAGGAGGGGAGAAAACTAGTAAATATTTACCAGAGATGATGACTGAAATGAGATGGGCCCCCTGAATTTGTTAGGGTAAAACTTTCTAAGAAGTACAAGTGTTCATGTCCTCTGTTACAAAGGTTTGGTGTCTTATTTTCTAAAAGTGCATTTTAACAAAATCTGCCCCTTATTGTTAATCTAGATTGTAAAATTGCAAATCCCAACATGACAGGTAATTCTTTAGGCAGTGCTTGCTGATGTGTCCATTTGCAGGTAAACCTAATAGAGATCTGAAATTGCAGAAGTAGGGATTTATTCCAATTTCAAAGAGCAACTAGTTGCTTGGCCATCTCAAGTGGGTGACTGGAATTTAATGGTTAGAAACATGTTTTTATAAGTCTGAAGCAGTGGGCTGTGGATGACCTTCAATTCTGAGGTAAGCTGCAGCCAGAGGAATTCAGAAACTTGAAAATGTATTTTCAAAACTTGGTCAGAGGGGGTAGGGGAAGAAGTTACCGTACTTTCTACTCTGAAATACTATCCAAATATTTGACCATGATCTTTACGAGGCAGTTGTCTTTGATAATATAGCAAAATGTATCTAACATTACGGCTAATCTCTATATTTTGGACTTGGGAGAGTAATTCAGGGCTAGCAGTGTGTTTGAATTGGTGCTTCTTTGTAAACTCTGACAGTCAGTTACACTATCAGTATATCTGCTTCCTGTACATTTTCCCCTTTGGCCAAGGAGATTTCCCCATCTCAGTTTTGTATTTCTTTTACACTCAAAGCTCCTACTTTAAGCAGTTTATGCCTCTAGCAGAAAGTCTTGAGGTTTGATCCAAAGCCCATTCAGTGAGATTCTCATTTTTTCTATGTACTTCATTGGGCTTTGGATCAGGCTCAAAGCCCCTTGTGTGGTATGGAGGCCACACACATCCATTCGCTGCTATTCTTCTCATTAGTAGCTGATTATACAGTTTCTATCACATTTCCAACTCCCCCCGCCCTTTCCCCCACATGTTTTTTGGTGAGTTCAGCGCTTATTAAAGTTGTGAGCCTGAGTCCTAGAGAATGAAGCTGTCTAGTTATCTACACACCTAGTATAGAATGGGCTGCAGCAGTGCAAGATTCTCCAGATCATCAGATTATCATGGCCCATCCAGTCTTTCGTTTCTTTGCAGAGACAACCAGCAAGGATGCCAGGGGCTACTAATTTTGATGGTGGATTGTGAACATGGACACATCTACTATGCATTAGACTTAAGCCATCAACTGATTGATATAGGCCAAACAGTAACAGTCATTATCAGTTAGTAACTACTTCTGATCCCTGCTGGCTTCAGATGGATGTGGGCTAGTGATTTATATTGAAGCTCCATTTTCTATCTTATTAACAATCCTTTGAACCCTTGAGGATTCTCTTCCTTCTTTCTTCCAGTCCCTCTCTTCCACCCTCCATGTAGCCCCTCTTATCATATTTATAAATAAAATTCCAGTTTACTATAATGTGACATTATATATTTTGACTAAATTTATGGAACTGCATTTGGATTAAGCTGTTATGTATACAGATCAACTTTTAGCTCAGGAATGCTATATGTTTTTAGTTAGAAAGTGTAGTGATTCTTGAAGATACATTTCATACGTATCTAGTCCGTTACAATAAGAATGATAGTGGCAAGTGTCCAGCTGATTAACATTTAGAATACACTGCATAGCTGTATTAATAAATCGGCCATTATTCTATTTCTATTGTTTGTCATGAGATAATTGGTTGAAATATAATTTTAGGATTTACTCACTTTATGTTCATATATTGCATTACTATATGTTTGTTACACTGTGCACATAAAGTATGAAATAACAGTAGCAGCATAAACTCAGTCTCTGTTAAAGCATAGTCATAATTTTTGGAAGATGGTAAAAAGTTTTAAATGATTGAAGAAAAGTTGGAAGCAAGTTGTAGTAGATATTTTTGATTAGTCTGGTGTCAAAAAACATCATTTCATCCTTTTCCAAATCCATACTCCATTCAGAACAGGCAACATCTCACAGGTTGAATTCTCAAGCTCCATATCTCTAATCTGGTGTTACAGTTAATGGGTGCAAATATGAATTGTTATAGGCTTCAAGACTTCATGATCTATGGTTTTTACAATTGGTCAGTCTCTTTGGAGTTAGTACTGTAACTTACAGAAAAAAGGGTGGTTGAAGGCATACTTTCACCTTAAAAATCACACTTCTGTCTCTGTTTTTTTCCTTTTATTACTATAAAAGAAAGATTCTAGAATTATTTGTGGTGTATTTACTTTAGATGGCATTTGACAGAAAGTTCCACTGTATAATCAGCGTCCTTTGTTAATTAAACACATTTTTCACGTAACATGGGAGAGAAAAAATTGAAAAAAGAAATAAGGAAAATATGCATACAGGGGAACTCAAGCAAGTGTTGTACCTAAGCTTACTTTTGTCTCTTTAAAAATACTTGCTAGATTTCAAGTTGACAGTGTCCATTTAAAAGAAGTAGCATTAAAATACAAGTTTCAGAGAGCTCACTGTGTTAGTCCATTTCAGGTAAAAACAACCCAGAGTCCTGTAGCACCTTAAATAAATGTGTTAGTCTTTGGGCATAAACTTTCAGGGGCTGGAGCCTACTTCATTAGATGCATGACATTAAATGCTGCCTAATGCAGATCTAAAGAATGACACTTAAACTAAATAATATGATGCAGCATTAGGGCCAGCTCTTGTCTGTTTAATCATGAGTAGTCCCATTCATTTAAAAACATAGGATTTAGCCCTTTGGGTACTTCCAGACTACAGAGCTATTTCGGGATACCAGCGGTATCCAAGGAACGTGTCCACTGTTTCAAAATAATGGACGCGCTATTTCAGCATCCCTGTAAACCTTGTTCCATGAGGAATAAGGGATGTGTTGAAGCAGTGCTTTATTTGGTGCCATGTAGATGTGCCAAATTTCAAAATAGCCTATTTCAAAATAAAATCTAAATAGGCACTATGCAAGTTGTGTATTTTATTTCTATTTTAGAGTGAAGTCTAGACGTACCCTTTAATATAAATCCTATCTCAAAATGATTTACAGAATTGAAGTATAACAATTTAGCGTCACACATATCACTGCGTATTTAAGAAGTGCTCCCAATAAGGAAGGGGTTTCAACTGTCCTTTTCAAATTAGGAGCATAGAGTATGACTTTTCCCAAACTTCAGTTCTCCTAGGTTAAAAAGTCTCCCATTAAAGCCATAACCAATATTTTATTTCATTTAAGATACTAAATTGTCTGATCCAGCGTACCAGGAAACCTCTCCCAATACTATTCCCTTATGCAGGTTCACAATACGCCTGTTCTTCTTAGGCCCTTTGAAAACACATGCCAGTCACTCCTTTCTCTCATGCTCTGAGCATCCATTTAATATGTTCAATGTGTAATCTTCACAGCCTCTGATACATATGAGGTTTTGAAGTTCAGTGCTTTCCCCTTTCCAAAGTAAGGGAAGCACCATTCTGAATAGTTCCCTAGAAAGCACTAATTGCCATATTAACATTAAGACTAATCATCTCCTGCTTCCTTCCTCAACCTGTTGCAATGTAGCATGTCCTTCATAAGACATAACTAGCATAATATGTTGTCTATGTGCTTTCTCATCTGTTTGAGAGTTATTTCTTGATTCCATAGTTAAAAATCAGCTGCACTACAACAAAACATGTATATGCAAGGGGATTTGTGCCAGCCTAAAATCCCAGTGTAGACATGGCTTTACTCAGGAAGGCTTTGGTTACCCAAACTAGTGCTTTAGCCTGGGAGTAAAGGCCCCCAAATCCAATCCCTTGCCTGTTGCTGCTGGCTACAGTAAGTAAATAAACTCTCACAAAAACTTAGGCCAGAGCTGAAATAATGAGACATTATACATGCTTCTCACCAAAGAAACCTACTGTTTCAGTAATGTCTGTTACTCTTTGTAGGCATTTGTAATAGTATATAAAGGTAGTATTACGAATGTAGCTGAATATGTGCAGCTCTGACTGATTCACCTGTCCTTATTGGTACATGCTCTAGATTTAATTTTACGTGTTTGTATTTCATCTTGAATTTTTTCTTTATCTCAATT